GTTTTTTTTGTTTTCTGTGCTTTCCTGCTCGTCTACTGCTGCTGTCTTTTATAAGGGTGTGTGGGGTTGTGCGGGGTTTAAGGTTTAGGGATTCCCCCCCTGGAAGAGCAGAGCAAGCATGACATCGTCGAGGAGGCGCACCTCGTACAGCACAAAAACGCAGCGGTAGAGTTCCGGCCTGGAACCATATATATATATATATATTACACATGTGTTTCTCTCCCTAACTATCTTCCCTAGGTGTCCGATCTATCTATTTGTCTACCTTTTTTTGTGTCCTCGTGTGTTCAGTGTCTGTTGTTCGCCTTCTGTCTCCATCTCTCACGAGACCGACGCACTGATGCGAATGATGTCGATACCATGATACCATGATCCCACAACATCTCGCGACCCCATCCCCGAGGCGCGCGCAAATGGCCACCAAGCTGCAGGCCATCGTGCGAGCGAGGCAGATGGCCAAGTCTGTTGCAGCGCATGTAAAGGCTGATGCCTGGGGAATCTTGAGTGTCTACGTCTCGATTTGTCGCTCTGACTTGTGCCATGCCATGCACAAGTCACGAGTCGCCGTGACAAGCATCTGCGCAATGTGCCACAACTGAGCAATGTAGCATAACCATGGCATGTCCAACGCTTTGAAGATTGGGGCGGAGTAAACAGGAGGATCATGGTAAATTAGTCCTTCGCTTCTCCCCATGTGATGCTTTGGCATTACCTCACGGCAGGTGCGCCAAAAATCGCTTTACTGCAACACGACCTACGATGAAGGCACTCATGGACTGTTTGAGGCAGGCAGCGCGGCAGAACCTGTGTTGCTAGCCCTCATTCGCATTTTGCAGAGGAGTCTGGGGTGCCTAACGCGTCCTTAACTCTGTCACGGTAGGTTGCCTCATATTGCGTGGTAGTGGCGCCCGGTGCAGGCGGATTGGTTGGGACAGTCGCAAACCTGAGAAGGATCAGCCGGGGACTCGACTTTTCCTCTCGGACGTGAGGGATGCTGGGGAGGAGCTGCTTGCAGAGGCCCATACCGCTGTTGGGCAAGCTGGGTGCAGACGCTCGGTCCTCAGATGGCCCTATCGATATCTGTCCAGTATTGTCCAGGGTTCATGAGCGTTTACGGCCTATGCTGCTGCATCATAAGACTTATCACGTCTTGTCAGTCTTGTCATTAGCCGTCATGTCTCATGATTCATCGTACTGGCACCTGGCAAGAGTCACTCAGGCCAGGGCATTCTCGGGAGACTTGGAGCAAGCCGAGAAAGCTCTGCTCTGGGCCTAAGTCAGATTTCATGAAAATTCCTTCAGTTTTCGCACGCCCGCTGCGTCGCTTTTTCTTGAGGCCGCATCTACCCTGCTCGGACAGACTGCGATCCGTTTCCAAGGCCACCTTACAGATGCAGTTCTGGAGAGTAGACTCTCTCTCGCGCGGTTGAGCAAAGGCTGCGTCCAGCCGCCTTGCAAAGGACATTCCTTGTCAGTGGCGCCGAGCATGAGCCAAGCTTTCGAAGCCCAGGAGCTGCAATGCATGGAGCAACTGGAGGCTTTAGTGTCGGCCTCAGTCGGCCTCACTCTTCGAGACGAGCCGTCTGGGGATCTCGTCGGCAAGAGGCAAAAAGCACAGATGCCGTGGAGATTGAGAAAGCCTTAGCCAGAGTCCGGGACCCCGCGAGCTTTTGCCATGCTGTTTCGAGTTTGTCGGGATGCTGCCAGTGAGCGAATGATTGCTGCGCTCCCGTGTAGATCTGCCATATCTGCGCCAAGCGGTCCGCACAAAGCACGTAGGGAACCACGATGACCGCCGCAAAACTCTGAGAGCGCTCACAAGAGACGTGAAGCCTCGTGTCACGGTTCCAAGGCCACCTCCTTGCAGCTGCCTCCGACGAGCTTGACACGGGAGCACCTTCCGCTCCGCTGCAAGGAGTGGGGGCGTGTTGCGGTAGCCCTGCAGCTCATGCTTGAATTTTTCCCACCTCGTATCACTGTGTTGATCTGTTCTGCAGGCGCTTCAGGTTCAAGTGCCGCTGGTGGAGGTGCATGCAGTAAACAGGTATATGCAACAAAGCCGGAGTCTTGAAGGCCCTGCGCTCGGCATCGGATGAAAAGAATCTGGAGTCACTTATCCGCATCATTGAGGAGGCAGGGCACAAGCGCAATTGCGTGCATCTCCAGCACGTCCTCGGATGTTTGCAGAGAACGCATATTACCAGGCGAACAAGAAGGGCTTGAAGCTGGATCCGACAGGCACGTGGAAGCCTGGAGCACGCTGTCATTGTGCAGTGTAACCATGCGGCTTGCATTGCAAAGCTGTGAAGGTTGGCTACCCGAACTTGCAGTCGGCGAGTTGCTCCGACAGGCACGACCGCTTTCAAACGCTTGTATAGAAATTTGCACTCGTCCAGCAGAATGATGGACGACAGGGAGTGAGTGCTGGCTAGAGTGTTCTTATCAGGGATTGAAAGGCTAAGTGGCTCCTTTCGGCTGTACCTGTTCCGCTGCTGGCGCGGCCAAGCAGGTTACATCTCAGAACAGACCTAGTAAGGCAGAAAGGGAATGGGGTGAGACCCCCCCCGCCTGGATGGAAGGGGGGAGAAAGATGTGCGCCTGGAATCATGCATGGTAGACGTGGACGGCGAAGCTGCATCGCTCCCTTTGCAACTAGTACGGGCCAGAGGGCTTCGAATCACGACTCCTCCAGCAGATGCAGGCTGGACAGCAGCCATGCTAATCTGGAATTGCACGGTATTGGAAATTGAAATTTCGAAAGATGCCCGACGAAGAGCTGCTGCAAGATGCGACAACGGCCTGTGCGCTGTAGATCCAGCACCGGCTGAACGGATAAGATTCTGACCACGGAAGCTGTGTCTCTGGTCGCCCGCATGGAGGTCGACAGATCTGCCGCATTTTTGTAATTAGGGTCCGTCAGAGCTCGTGTGTTCTTCACACTGACCGCGGATGGCAGCTCTGCAATTTGCGTCACCCAGTGTAGGGAAGGGGGGCGCGGGGTGGGTGGAATAAGAATCTTAATTGACTAAAGAGTTCGTTGCAATTTCCAGTCTGTTCGGCAGGTGGATGCACAGCGCCTGAAGCACGAAGCGCAACAGAAGCTAGAAGCGGAGACCAGGCAGCGGCAGGAGCGGCAGGAGCAGCAGGAGCAGCAGCAGCGGCAGCAGCCGCAGCTGCCGCAGCAGCCGCAGCAGCCACAGCCGCCACTTCATGCCCAACCTGCGCCAGCCGCAACCATTCAGCCAACACCTGTGCATACATCCAGCTCAGAAGGTGTGCTGCATGTGGGGCGTCTGCCCACCGCAAAGCATGCGGCACCTCCACAAAGTGCATCGCTTGGCCAAGCTGATGGCAAGGGGCACGGTGCTTGGCATGGCAAGAGACATCAAGAGACAATTCCTGACCTCAGTGATCCTGAACGATAGCTTTGTCATACTGGTGAGGTCTACAGCTGATAGACGGCGACGGCCAACGATTACAGGAATAGCGGGTTTGAGGAGTCTCTTCTGCACATGTTCTGCAATTGAGATATACCTCAGGATTCAGCTCCTTTCAGCAGACGCAACTTCTTGCGACCCGGCCGAACCTTTTGTCTCCCAGGCATGCACTTGTACCCCGTGCGCGGAGCGCGGCGGAGCGCTGACCGTTTGAACAGGGGAACCAAAAAGCGTGGCCGAGGCGAGCCTGCGAGCTGCTGCGGAGAACTTGGACTCAGCCGGACCAGCCGGCTTGGAGCAGCTGCTCCAGGAGGCGACGCGCAACGGCATCGAGGAGGCCGAGCTGAAGGCAGGGCCGGGGCGGCAGGGTGGGCTCTGGGCTTCAGGAGGCCTGGGTTTGACCTCGTCCCCGCAAGCCAGGAGTACCACAAGAAGATGTGCGATCTGCAGAACGAGGCCTTCCTTCGGCAGGCGGTGGAACAAGTTCTGGAGGAGGTCAAGGCCGGGTTCCTGGGATGTCCTGCCCTTTTTCTGCATTTTCTGCTGCATGCTGCAACCAAGGCAGAGTGTCCTCCGCCAAATGCACTGCCCCGTGACTGAGAGATCAGGTGTAGGGCGTAGGGTCGTGGTGTTGTCGTCAGATGCATCGAAAGTGTTGCCTCGGGTGACCTCCGAGGCAAAAGCTGCAGAACTTGTCACACCAACTGCGAGTCTTGCACGGGGATGCCGAGCTCATTAGATCAGCATCGCAAGCAGTGCAGCCACTCGTTGCAGTTGGCATCCGGCAAGATGATGCACATGATGCACAATGCTTCGAACTTCGCATTACAGCGGACAGAGTGTGGCAGGCAGGGGACTCGGCGGCGAACCAAGAGCATCGCCCCAGCTCGAGATGGCCGCCGGGCAAGTGCCTTCGATGCGCCTCGGACAGAAACCGAGCGCGGCGCTGCGCGAAATCCGGGGTGCCGTGGCCCTGGCCCAGGTGAAGAGCTCGGAGGAGCTGCGCGTGGCCTGCGAAGCCTTCAGCGACCTCAACTCTTTCTCCAAACTGAAGAACGAAGGCTCTTTGAGAGCGGTGTGCTGTGCCATAACAGCGTGCTCTTGAGCTCTCTTGGGGAGGCGCATGGAAGGGCCATCGAAGCAGCCTCCAGTTGGAGTTGGCTCCTTTCGCTGGAAAGATGCTGGGCCATTCGAAGGCCTCGGGAGCGCAGCTTACGAGCCGCTTCAAGACACCTGAGCTTCAGGTGACAATCGCCGAGTCGCTGACACACCTGCCAAAGTCACGCGAGGCTGCGTGCAGCCGCGGTTCGTTTTTGACTCAGCTGCATGGTGCTACAGGCTGCGGCCATTCAGACCTTCCGAAACATTCTAGTTTGGATGGGGGATCGCCCAGCACAAGAGTGCCAGCGCATCGCAAGTGTTGGCCTCAGCATGCCGATGGTATGAGCAGCAACACCTGTCCCTGTTCAGACGCACAGGCAGGGAGAGCGTCATCAACACGGCACCCTATCCGAACTTAGTTGGCAAATTCTTCGGATGCCTGTCCGTGGCTACGACGAGGTTAGTTCAGATCCTTTCATGCGCGATGAAACCTTCGTTCAGATCTTGAAGCACCCAAGCTGGAATTCGATGGCTTCTTCAGAGACATTCAGAGACGCTCTTGCCGCTTCCACTATCCTTTCCCATGCAGAGTTCTGCTCGGACTAGGCAGCTCAGTGGCAATCCATCAGCCCGCTCCGAGTGGCTGGGTTGGCAGCTGCTCTTGCAGCGCCTCGGCCACATGCATATCCGTGGGAGTGGGTAGGGATTTGATTCGATGTTTTTCATCTTCATGCTGCTATAGATGTGGCTGGTGTAGCCCGATGTAGTCACGTCTGCTTGCTTAGGCTGTGCCATACCACACCTCCAAGTGATGAGCCGCTCTTCTGCACCTTCTGCCAGTTAGATGAGAGAGTCCATACACGATGCTGATCAGGCTGGACGATTTCGTGCGCTTCTTTTGCGCTCAGGCCGCCAAGTTTGCTGGGGTGCTTCGAACATGGCAATGGGAAGCTGAACCAGCAAATATAAGCTAGCCGGAGCACCGCAAGAGCCTGTTGCCCTGAGAAAACGAGTGCGGCGCCCTTGAGCTCTGGCGATGCACGTGCCCTGGAGCTCGAAAGAATTGCCAGAGAATGCTTGGAGGCACAGATGACCGATCATGACTCATGACGATTACATTAGTCTTATCTCCATTAAGACGCATGAAGATGGTCCACTTGCAGTGTTACAACCCTCCTGACAGGCATTGACGGCTGCAGCACCCACCAAAGGCACAGATGATGATACGTCTGGAGACATGGTCGGTGTGCTGGTGTACTTGATAGACGGCTCTTCGCAGCCGCTTGACAAAAAGCAGCCCATATCGGTGGGCCGTGTCATACTGCGCCATTGGTGAGCCTGCAATTCGCCTCAAGGAATTTGTTCGTGCCGGTGGCAACGACTCTCAAAGAGATGTCTTCCCTAATGGGAAGCAGAGTCGGTGTGAAGCACTGGCGGGACTTTGCATTCTTTCAAGCGACTGGCAAGGCTGAGTCGCTCAGGCACGACGTCTGCACAGCGTGGTGTCCTTGTGGATGTACCGTGGTCACCACAACAGATATTGCCCAGCTGGCAGGATGCTTCCAGACATCCTTCCCGTATCGGAGCTGATCAGCATGTGGCAGAAAATACGCGAAGCCACTGGCTTGGCAGGCGCGCAGAAAGCAACAGAAGTGGACTGGAAGCCAGAAAGAGATGCTTGGTATGAACTATAAACTGACACCGTAGGCCACCTGCACTGGCGGCGGCGGTTTCTGTTACCTCAGGCCGGCAGTCTTGTCAGTGCTCCGTGTGTGTCGTCCCTGGTTCCTTTTCCCTCGCTCGCTGCTTTATTTGTGGACTTGTCATGTCAGCTTCCGCCCAGGCAAGAGTCGAGTGCTTTCCATGTTTTTTGGTAGTGTGATGTTTTTGAGTTTGCTGGTGAAAGTGAGGGGGAGGGACAGTTGAGGCTTCTTCGTGCATGGAGCTGCGAGATTAGACCCGAATTTCGCCTTTGTGCTTCGGGTGCGACTGACGATGTAGAGGTGGTGGACAAGACCGGTTTCTTGATTCGTTTCGACGCTGCTGCGCACGCACAATCCGAAACCGGAGACATCTGAGACCTAATCTCCAAATCCAAAACAGCCCAGTCCTATCACGCGGCAAACATGTGGAAAATGCACATGCTGCAGGGTGTGCGAGGTTCGGCCCTGAAGTGAGATTTCGTTACACTTAAGTGGGAGTTTGTTGAGCTCGAGCAGGAGATGCTCCAGGCTGGAGATCTGCATCACGCGGCTCTCACGTTTCGACAGGCAGTATCAGTAGCATTTGTTCTTTGTTTGCGTCGGCTGGTGTCGGGATTTCAGGCTGTGCGCAGCCACTTGCACCGGCCTGCTCCGTGAGCTTTGCCGGCACTTAGCGGACTTAGCCAAGAGGCAAAAGGCTCCTTCTGGGTACAAATCTAGCCCACTGCCTGTACTCCTGCTCTCTTGAGTTGTTAGCTGGGGGTGGTGCTGGACCTCGATCTAGCAAAGCAAACTAGAAAGCACGGCATTCTGCAAGGCCTGACACAGTAACATCATGCGATATGGCGATATCATGAAAAGGTTATTGCCACCTTTATCGCTACTTGCTGTCACTGCGGCCATTGCATCTTATGAAGCGATCGTGCCGACAAAAACTACTCCAAGCTCTTGGTACAGTGTTGAGCTGCAGTTATATCCTCCTCATCCAGTAATATCGGTGCATCGTTCTCTCGTGTGGGTCTACATGATACAGAGTCTGTATGTGAAGCTGAGACGGTATGATGTGGATATATCATGTTTGAATATGTCTGAAAGTATTAAAACGGCACAAGCCTTAGCTCCGGGTCCGCGTCCGGCGGAGGTCAGGCTGGGGGCGAGGCCGAGGAGATGATGACGGCCGCGGCGCTTTTGTGGTTGGAGAGCTCCATGGCAGCCAAAGGGCGAAAGATGGACAAAGGCATCTAAAGGCTACGAAAGCCACCGTGAGTACTTCTGAATGTGACACGGAGAGTTTCTTTCAATACGGGACGCTCGCTTTACCTTGCTTGGCAAAGCCCACTTACGTAGTGGGATTCACGCGACCACGAGGTTATAACCCATTGCAACAGATCAAGGATAACGACAGGCTTGTTCACGAGCTCCTGAAGGCCTGTTAGAGCTCTCGAAAGAAAAGCAGCTCATTCTGAAGAGACTCGACTCTTCAGGGGCAGATGAGCGGCCTGAAACCGACGCAGCAAGATGCTGTCAAGCAGCGCCTGCAAGCAAAGGCCAGGCGCGGGCTCGTTCCTTTTTTCGGCTGCTTCAGGAGATCTCAAGGCAAGTCATCTGGCAGGTCAAGGACTTGCGAAAGGAGTATGGGCCACGGGTTCCACAACTGCAGCGTATGACGAGGGCTTTTGCCCTAATGACACTCGGAGAAAGTTCATGATGGATGGCAGCACAACATCACACGGATGCTTGGGATGCTCCTTGGAGCCCAGGCGCTGCTTTCCACATTTTGGCACCCAGCACTGGCCGGCGAAAGGGATCTCTGCAGCCAAAGTGGCCTGGCCCAGAATGAGAAGAGTTGGTAACGTGACTCGTTGATGGCGCGCCAGAGCAAGCGAGGTTTATGCTGCGGGAACCATGGCGGTAAGCAATCCGCCAGAGAAGTGCTCTGCTCTGCAACAGGATCGCCCGAAATCTGCGAATTGATGTGCACTATAGCACCAGGCAGCCGGCTGAAACTGAGACGTTTCATTGTCTTTATGCTAGACTCTGGCAAACCCTGAAGCCGAATCATGCTGAAACCGCAGTACCCATGCTCCAGCCTTCTTACATTGCTCAAGGTATTTGGCGCTGCACTTGCGCCAGACGGAGCCGGAGCTTTGGATTTTCGTCGATACCTTCGGCTTGCACCTGGCTCCGGCGCTGGCCAGTCGAAGCACGGCATGACAAAAGCCTGTAAGTCCTTGATTCAAAGGCAGTCCGTATTAATAAAGGCCACCGGTAAGCCACAGCCTTGCCAGTCCCCTTGTGACGTCATTTCCCCATGGCACTTCTGTTGATTTGTGCTGCTTGTCCAAGACACAAATGGGGCAGCGCTGTGGAGCTTTCTCTTCCAAGATACCACTTCGGCGTACCACTGGCTGTTGTCTTCCTTTGCCCTCGGCTTCAGAAGCTGATCTTCGGTGAGCTGAGACTGCGTGAGCTGGGCCAGGTCTGGCGACAGCGAAGTCCAGGATGACGCTTTGAACTCGCCCTCAAGCGCGAAGCTTGCCTGCACAGCTTTCCAGCGGCAGCGAGCGTCGCGCATGACCCCTTGGACTTCGCTTCTCGAGGTTCCGCAGGAGATCGCTGAGCGAGCTGGTAGCATCCGATGACGGTCTTGGGCCCAGCATAGCAGCCCGAGGCCCTGAAGCATATACGGAGCAGGCACATCTACGGGCTTCCCACCTGTGCTCCCGTTGCTTCTACTCGTACGTGTTGTTGAGACACCTCTTGCAACACGTTATGCTTGTTAGGTGCCGCTACGCCGTCTGCCCGACGCAACCTTCGATTGCACAATCAATGTGGACGGTTGCTTCGCAGCTTAGCTCGCCTTGGAAAGACAAAGATCCCCTGCGTAATGGCCGAGTCTGCAAGACATGCTCTGCAAAGTCAGGATGGGGTGCCAAGCCCGGTGCACTGCAACTTGTAGTGCCTCTTGGCTTCTTCAGCAATCTCCGGAAAGGCCCTCAAGAGCAAACTTCTGTGACAACTTGGACACCAAGTTCCCAACCGTGCTGGTGTATCTGTCAAGCATAAGCTTCGGCATCAACTACTCACAGTTGTTTGTCAGCACAGCACTACGATGTTTGGACTGAAGAGGCACAGTGCGGATCTGGGGCGGTCGGCTCCAAAGCTGCCGCAGCTGGTAACCCTCGCGTGCCCGGACGCTTTGGATGTCTGTCGCCTGCAAGAAGCTCCTTCAGTGGGTCTGCCTTCGCACAGTGTCCTGCACTGTCCTGTGCCAAGGCCGCCTTTGTTGTACATAGCGCGCTCTGCGAACTCTTGCAGCTGCCGACTACATGTTCTTAAAAATGAGTGGCGAATCTCTGTGGAGTTGATGCACTATGCAGCTGTCGTTCGTGGGGTGCGTACCGTGCTGTTGGTTCGTGCACAGGCCGAACAGGGCCAGGCGTATGCACAGGTTAACCCGACTGGCTGGTTCCTGACACTTTCCTGACTGATGGAAGGAGGGCATCAACTTACATCACGTCTGGCCGCCCTTGATGGGGAATCCGTCGTCAGCCTGTTCGCGCGAGCGTGCCTGGTGCGTAGCGGGCTTGGAACAACTGGGTTTGCCGTTTGCGCCGCGCAGCTCCGGCTGGCGAGGAGCAAGCACAGCTTCCAAAACTGAGCTCTAGCGATGGTGAAATCATCGCCAATTGGGACAGCTGCGGTTGGGTCTGACAAAGCGTCGTCTGCGTGTAATTGGAGTGGGGACCAAAACATGACCCTGCACAGCCCCAGATGCCTCTGGGCTGGTGGCTGTGGAGGTCCACTGGTGCCCGCCGTCGCTTCTCTCGCGGCCTGGAGCTGAGATGTTCCCATCCAGCCTGGACAGGACCGGGGCCCTCCCGACTTCTGCAAGCACGGGTCCACGAAGGACTCGCAAGGTAAGATGGTACTGTTGTGGGGTGCCATAGCCCGGATGGCACCACAACCCGATCAGAGGTCGTCGCAAGCAACAGCCTCGAGTTGAAAATGGCCACCGATGAGCCGTCCCCAGTCAGCGCTGTACAAACACATTCCGATCCAGAATGGGCCTTATGACAGACGGACGTCTTCGTGGGGAAGAAACGACCAGCGAGTAAAAGGTGACAAGCACCATGCCAACCTGCACAAAGAACTTGGTGGCAAGTTGTACGATCATCAAAGGCCAGCACTGGGCTTTCGGTCGTGATGCCGTGTTGAGCTGTCTCGACAAACAGTTGTGCTTGGGAAAACCTCTGCCCACTGCTCGTGCACAAGTTGCTTTTGTGCCCATCGTTGCTGGGGAAAGCATTCATGACTGTTTTGCAAATTGTTGCAACGCAGGTCTGCCAGGAGGGCGGCGCAACTATTGCGATCTGTTGCGAACAACATGCTGTCAGAACGGTTTGCCTTTCGCGACCTGTCAGCACGTCGTGTTCGTGGTCAAGACGACGTTGTCTATAGCGGTCATGCTTCAGCTTGATGGGAAAAGCGACCACTGTTTTCGCTTTGCCACCAATCCCCAATGCCGCTCGAAGGCAAGCCTCCGCTGCTCAGTCACGTCCTCGCGGACTCTGCCGAAGCACCACCCCCTTGGCTTCCCAACTTGAACAGGGAAAAAACGTACTGTAACCTCGGTGGGACCTTCGCTGCACTGCCGGCCTGGAAGGTAGCACCTTCTTATCTCCACCATCGCCAAGCACAGAAACCCTATCTCCACAGGTTCGCGTCAGCTTGGGCCACGGCTGCGACGACTGAAGCTTCCGGCAGCGGAGCATCCGCAAAACAAAAACATCCGCAGAACCGAAAAATGGGTCTACAAACTTGCACAGGCACTGATGCCCTTGCGGCACAGCAGCACGCCCCTCCCGCGCTCCGAGCTACAGTGCCGCTTGGGCTCGGTGGTGGACGCAGCTGTCGGTCGCCGTTCAGCGGTCAGCGCGGCGCCACAACTCCCGACGGTGGACCCTCGGGCATGGCCGGCCGGAGGTTGCGGGGGCCAGCGCAGCAGCTCCGAAACGGTCCGCGAGCAGGGGGGGGGGAATAGTTGTCGAACTGAGCAGCCTCGGAGTTCCAGCGGCCACGAACTTCAAGTGCGAGGACAACAAGCTGGCACTTTTGCGAGCGCAGCAGCTCCCTGTGTGCAAGAATGCGCAAGATGTGCAAGGTGCAGTGCGGTGCCTCGGTACCGCCGCTGCTGCCGGTGTGCGTGGCGTCCGCCCGAAAAGGGGGGTCCATTTGCGATGACTTCGGTGCGGCGGTCATCGAGGTGGATGTTGAGGTCGCGCATTGCAGGCAACGGTAGCTGCGGCTTCGCGGCAAACGCGGGCAGCAGCTCGCTCGAGCGGGAGACAACGGGAGCGCAAGATGCCAGAGCGGGGGCAGGCAGCGCGGTTACCGAGAGGGCCAACGGGACAAGGCAGGCGAAACCCGCGGAGCAACAGTGCTCATGGCACGAGGGCAAGGCAGTGAGAACTCTCGAACGGCCCAGACAGTGACTCAAGCAGAACCAAACAAGTGCTGCGCGGAGGCGGCCGGCCAAACAGTCGTCGACAGCATAGGAGGCAGCCGTTGCCATCCTCGAGTAGCGTGGATAGGTTCGTCAGGGTCTGCAGGGACAACGGTTTGTTGATTGAGGACCCGGATTCGCGAGCGCTGATGCTGCCCCAGGCAGGCCCAGGCGGCTCACGTGCCCTAACAGCGTTCCCCACGGCTCCGGAGTTCCGACTCTCGAGCTCTTGATTCCGAGGCGGTTGCGACTGCCCGTATACCTCTTGGGCCCCGTTGGTGCCGTCGTGGAAGTGTCCGCGATGGTTGTGGGGACCACCGCGCGGCGTGCCCGACGGCAGGTGTTGTCGGAACGCGCGGGGCAGCTTTGGGGAGGGCAGTGCAGGCACTCGTGGTATCCAGCGTTTCCTTGGGGGACCTGGCTGTCGACGTGCCCGTGACTGACGCGCACCGCGTCGAGGTCTTGGCAAATGATTCGCAAATAACGTGCTCATAAGCAGTGGCATAAACGACTCGCGCAGACCACTCATGTTATGTAACAGTTATGTAACCATCCAAGACGCCCCGGCACAGCAGCAAAGGGCACCACTAGGTCACGTGAAAAGGCCCACCCCATGATTTGATTGAGTAATTTGGCCCCCGGGTTGAACAATGTTGAACAAACTCAAAGCCGAAGAAAGCTGGGTTCAGAGTATATCGTTAAAAAGCAACGATACCGCAGTGGCCCACGACAGGCAAGCAGCCATTGTGTGTTCGCCGCTATGGAACATGTGCTACCTAGGTATAGCCAGTATCCCATGACGACTTGTGCGATGGCTGGTGAATTTTCGGCAGCCGATTCTACAGCGCTAGATGTCTTGGACGAGGCGAAGTGGGAGGCCGCATCGTCCAATTTCGAAAGGAACGCCGCGCCGGACATGCAGTTTTTTCCACACCCTTTTGCCCGTCTGCCACAAAAACAGTCGGCGTGTTGTACTCCACACAGGAAAATGGACAGCACGCCGCAAAATGGGCACGGTCACGGGGTGGGGAGTCAGCTCGTGGGCACGGATGGCACGGGCTCGGATCCGCCAGCAGGTCGCCCAATGGTGGCTTCACCCCCCCTAGCGGCAACTCAAACAGCGAATAGGCCAGCGCGCGCAGTGCCCGTCCAACGGTGTAAGGGCCGGGCGCAACGGCACTAGCGACTCGCGAGCACGAACTTTGGCTCCGGAGGCCCGGGCCGGGATTGCTTAGCACGTTCTTCAGCACCAACCGTCCCGGCCTGTGCACCTCACCACGCGAGCGATCGCCGCTGTCCTTCGCCCCATACGTCGGGGCGGGGCACTCGGTTTCTCGGGCATGCGAGCGGAACGCCTGAAACTGTTACTTCAAGATGGCGTTGCCGCAGGCGAGTGTTATGTGATGGTGACGCGCCACCGCTGGGCGACCTCCTAGCGCAGGCCCGCGACACAGAAGTTGTCGCGGATAGCCGATCCCGGTAGGACCCGGTAGTTTCGGCGAGGGACGACAAGCGGTCCGAAACAGGGCCGCTATCGAGCTGCTGGCGGGAGCTTCCACGCTCCTCGCGCGCGTGCCAGTTGACGTGTGCAAGGCACTCGTCATGGCTCGCATCAGTGGCTTGCGCAAGCCAGCGGGGGGGTGCGTGGAATCGCCCCGCGCGACATGGTGCGCCGCTTGGTTTCGAAAACACTTGCCAGGGAGTGGGCCGACAAGTTCGACCAGGCAACGCGGCCATTCCAATTCGATCCAATTCGCGTTACAAGCGCGAGCGGGAACGCCCTTGCCACCCACGTGCGTGCCGCCTGCGCGACACGCCGAGGAACCGGGTGTCGCTGGACGGCCGCAGCGCTTACGCCAGCATGTCGCGGGCGGCTCGGCAAGCTCCGCGGGGTGGCGCCGGAACTGCTCCCTTTCGTACGCCTTTTTTATGGGAGCCTCTCCACCTACTGTACTGCTGGTGGGACTCTGCTGGCCGCTGCCGGGATGTGCTCCTGGGCGGAGGGTGTGAGCAAGGGGACGCGATGCCGCCCGCCCCCGCACTTTTCACAATCGGACAACATGACGCTCTCCAACAGGCGGCAGCGGCTCGACGACAGCCTCGTCGCTGTTTTGGACGAGGTGTGCGTGGTCACGCAGCCGTCCCGAGCGAAAACCGCCTTAGACGCGACCGTGCGCGCTGTCGAAAACCGGTGTGGCATAGCACCCCTCGAACCCGGGTGACCGCTGCCGAAGCCGGCCCAGCTCCGCTTGGGATTGCGGAAATGGGCTATGAGGTGTGGAGAGGCGACAAGCCCGATGTTCAACGAGGCATTGTCGTCCTTGGCTCGCTTGTGGGCCACCCAGCCTTCGTGCAAGCATGGGCCGACGACAGGCTGCGCGCCGAACAACAGCGCCCAGACCAACTGCCCAAGCTCCCAGACTTTTAGTGTGCGTGGTCGTCTTTGCTAATGTGTGCACCCCCTCGCGCGAACCATGCCATCCGCATCATGCCCCTCTCGGCGTACGCGCGAGGACATGATGATGCCATATGGACGACGCTGCAGAAAAATCGACTGCATTGCTTGCTATCAACGCAAGCCTGCCCTCGAGCGCCGCCATGTATGTGCGCCTCCTCGAGTCCCACGCCGGAGATGGCGCGCACTGCATTGCGGAAGCGGCGAACGCACGTATGCTCCTCGAAGATCCTCGAAGGAGCCCGCCCCGACCTGGCAGCGGTTTGCGCGCCCCGCTTTAGCAGCTCACCGGGCGTTGGTCAAAATTTTCTGACAGGTGCAACAACCATTCCGACATGCCTCTACTTTGTACCGCCCGCCAGGCCTGCCCCCTGCCCC